TTCCCAGAATTCTCCTGTTCTCATCACCCCGCCTCTATTTCCTGCCTGGTCACGCCACCTTTACTTCCTGTCTGGCTACTGGCTAATCAGTGTTTACAAGTGACAGGATACAAGATCATTGTTCCACAGCAAGTTATAGGAAAGTTCCTAGGGTTAATACCCTCGTCTTTTCTGTTGCTAAGAAAAAATACCTGGGATTAGATAATATACAAGGAATATAGATTTATTTGGCTCATGGTTCTGGAGGCTGAGAAATCCAAGAGTATGGTACAGGCATCCTTTTGGCATCTGGTGAAGTCTTGCTTGCTGCATTACAACATGGCAGAGGGTATCAGAGTTTGGAAGGGCGAGATAACAGGGGGAGTTAACAGACAGATACAGACATGGAGATGGAAATGACACTTTATTTAAAAAAAAACCACACTTCCACTGGACCTAGCCATCCCCGCAGAACAAGCTTAATCCGTTAAACACGGGCACATTGGGGGTCAGAGGTTCAGCAATAAGCTTTTGGGGGAGACATTCACAGAGGAGCAATCTCTTACATGTGAGATGGAGACTTTATCTGTTGTGACCTCACTTCAGCAAGTCTTTTTCTGCCTACTTCCGCTTCCACCACAGTGGTTGGGTTCCTAACTGGTTATTGTCCCCACTGAAAACTACTTAGGACTTTCTGCTCCAAGTCACCAAAAACCAGACTCACTCAAGCTGATTCAAGCAGAAAAGAGAGGAAGAAGTGATTAACCTGCACCATCGACAGCTTCAGAACTGCCCCATGCTGAACTGGATACAAGCCCAGATGATCCTGGGTTCTGATTTCTTTGGTGACTTCCAGCTTCAGCTCTGCCCTGTTCCCTTTATCCCCAATGTGTCTGGTGACTGACGGCTTGCTCCTGTGTCACACAATGTCTGCAAGCAGTTTTGTTTTCTTGGCCTTCCATCTAACCAGCTAGAAGGAGCCTTTTCCCGCCACACACACACACACACACACACACACACACACACACACACAGAAATTCTGGGCTTCGAGAGGTGGCTCACCAGATGAAGTCCTGATCCACTGGCAGTCGCCTCTGGAGTGGAAGGGGAAGTTGAATCCAGCCACATCACAAGTGATAGGGTCAGGCCATTTTTTAGGGCTAAGTAGGAGCATGAGAGGAAACAGCAAAAGTCTCAATGTTTTGTTGCCCTCTCCCTCCCACTCACCCTGGCCCCACATTAATCAACTTCCAATGTTCCTTGTCAGTGGTTCTTGCTGGAGTTGCTGACCTTTGCGTAGAGGGAGGAGAGCGTAACACTTTGCACAATTCTAACAGGCATGTCTATGTCTCTTCCTATATATACATTTGACATTTCCTTGTTAAACATCCTTATTGATGCTCCATTACCCACAGAAGAGTGAGTCACAATGACTTTCGTGTCTCACCACTTGGTGTCTCCTGCTGTTTGAAATTAGTGGAATGCTGGCCTGGGAGATGGCTCAGAGAGTAAGAAACATGGCTCTGCACTCATGGAGTCCTAGGTTTGAATACCCAACAACCAGGAAAAAGGTCAGGCATGGCTGTGCATGACTGTAGCCCCAGCACGAGGGAGCAGACACAGGCAGACCCCAAGAATTCCCTGGCTGCCTGGTCTAACCCAAAGGGTGAGCTTCTGATTTATTGAGAAACCTTGTCTAAGGGCGACAGTGTGAAGAGTGGCAGAGGGATACGCCCAGTGGCCTGCTCTGGGCTCTGCATGCAAGTGTGCAGACGCTCACACTGGCTGCAACACACATACACACAACATACACAGACACACACACACACACACAAAGGGGGCGAGAGGGAAGGAAGGAGAATACGGCTAAATTCTGTGGGTATGATCTGTTATTTTGTAGTTTTGAAAAACCTAGAATTTGAATCACCTGTATCTTGAGGCATGGAAGGAATATAGTTCATTAAAATTGGTAATCAAAAGATTTGATGGATCACTGGAGCCCAGGGTTTTGAAATTGCTCCAGGCAACATAGTGAGATCCTGTATTCAAAAAACAAACAAACAAAAATGACTGTAACCTTGCCTCAGATACACGAGGGACTGTTTAAAAACCATGTTTGCGCAAAGGTTATGATAGCTCAGAGGTAGAGTTCTTACCTGTCACAAGTGAGCCCTAAATTCAAGCTCTAATATTATGAAAAATACAAAATACACCAAAAGCCATCTTTCCTTCCATTATCAAATAGCCGATGAAGCAAACCCATGAAAGAAAAATTCTTATCAATTTTTCCCCAACAGTTAGACTGTGAACACAACACTTTTTTGTAGTTGTTATGGATGTTGATTGTTGTGGTGGTGATGGTGGGTTTTTTGTTTGTTTTGTTTTTGTTGTTTTTTGAGGTCTTTCTATGTAGCCCTGGCTGTCTTAGAACTTGCTATGTAGACTCGGTGGCTTTGAATGCAGAGATTTTCCTGCCTCTGCCTCTCGAGTAGAGTGCTGGGATTAAAGGTGTGTACCACCACACCTAGCCTCCAACACTACACTGTTGGTGTGGTGTTGGCCTTACCATTTTCATTCATATAAGATGAGAGAAAAAGGAAGACAATCAGAAACAGTTCCTTCGAGGCAAACAAAAATGCAGTTTGTTACTGTCTAGGCCATTAGCAAAATAGCTAAGACTACTTAAGTTAGAAATAGTGTAAATCCATTTCTGTTAGTTCTAGAAGCTGGGAAGTTGGGTATCCAGTCATCAACAGATTTCATATTGGGGAAAACCCCTCTGGATTCATGGATGGCTTCTTCTTCCTGTGTCTTCATTTGTTAGGAGGATGGAAAGGCATGGGGTGCGCAAATAAAGTCAACTCAAACTCATTTCCTCAACCCCTTTAAAGGGCACAGTTCCCTTCAGGAGAATTCATGACTTAATCACTCCCATAAAGGCCCATTTGTAGTGGCATTTGAATTGCATTTTAATAAATAAGGACTACCTGAAGATCTGAGGGTAAAACAGTCCCATTGGTGAGCCTTCCATACCAGGTAACACACACCTTTAACCCCAGTAGCCATAATGACATGAACCTTTAATCCCAGTAATCACACTAGTTGCCATAGAAACCAGGCGGTGCATGCCTTTAATCCCAGTCCTAGAGAGGATTATAAAATGGGAGGAAATAGTTCTCAACACCCAGTCTCGTTCTGAGATTCCAGGAGGCAGGATTGCCATTTCAGACTGAGGTGGGGGTAAGAACCAATGGCTGGCTGTTTTGCTTTTCAGATCTTCAGATTGAACCCCAGTTTCTGACCCTGAGTTTTTATTAACTGTGGTTCACCCATTTTCTTAAAACTGTTATCTTGTGAATTAAAATTTAGCATGGATTTTAGGTGGGCATGAATATTCATATCGGTCATCAGTGAAAACACTATTGTCCCCATCTGCCCCCCACCATCTCCTCAAAGTTAGTAACCCAGAGACAGATTGATTTGAAGACGACAAGTGTTCTAGACTGTTCTGTGAGACAAAATATTTGAAATTTTGTAATAAATAGTGAACAGAAATTTATTGTGATTCCAGGGGCTGAGAAATTTAAGAAAGAAGAGTAGCATCCAGCAAGAACCCTCTTGCCACAAAACAGTGTATATGTGCGCATGCATGCATGCATCGTGTGAGTAGCCGTGAGAGAGAACAAGATGAGCCCAAGTCTATCATTCATGAGTCCACTCCCACAATCCATTCATTAGAAGGCTTCATTTCCTCTTAACGGTCCCACTTTTTAACAGTGTTGATTGGAGACTAAATTTTTTATTTTATTTTATTTAGTTTTACTTTTATGTATTTGAGTGTTTTCCGAATGTGCGTCTGTACCACATGCATGCCTGGTGCCCACAGAGGCCCGAAGAAGGAGACAGATTCTCTGAGACTGGAGTTATAGATGGCTGCGGGCCACCATGTGGTGCTGGGAACAGAACTTGGACCGTCTAAAAGAACTGACATTGCTTTTAACCACTGAACCAACTCTCTAGCCCTTGGGGTTGAATTTTTAACACATAAGCTTTGGGGGACACATCAAATCAAAGCAATGTACAAGAGAAAAATATTTGGAACGATTCCTTTTATTTCCCTTAGCAGAGACTCAGAAACAAGTGTTAAGCAATGCAAAGTTTTTTCACAACTCGCAGCTGGACCTGACTCATCCATGGATTAATCTGGTTCTGAAGACAGGGGCCATGGAGCTCACTCTGGTGCTATGGTGAGGCATTGAGAACCTGGGGACAATCTGTGCCACCTTGGCCTGAAAACTGAGTCTGTGGAAGCCCTGGAGTGGGCTTCAAGTTTGGAGCCTGTGGAGCCAAGAGTCAGCTTGGTAATTAGGTGGGCTTGGAGGCCCAGGGTGTGGGTACTGGCCTGAAGTCTGGGTCTGGGGGACCAGACCAGTATGGAGTTTGCTGGGACAGGCCCAGTGTCTTCAGGCAAGCAATTGTCACTGCTGACATCCTTACCCTTTACTACTGGAAGGGATGTCTTTTGGAGTGAGAGGGAGGATGGATACAAACCTGTCATTCCTGCTTCACTCAGGTGTGATCACTAGTGTGGTTTCCTTGGTTCTTGAGGCATTTTCCCACGTAGATAGTTCAAATTGGTATTTCTGTGAGGAAATGAGCCTTGGGAAACTCTGTTCTGTCTTCTTGTTGATGAAGACATTTACTACTACTTAAATACAAAATTCTGTAAACATAAGAAAATGTACAAAAATAAAATACTACTTGAAATACTTTGTAATATTCAACAGAAAATGAGAAAGCTTGACATGAAATACTGAGGAGATGTCAGTGGTAGTGCGCTTGCCTTCCACGTGCTGGGTCCTGGGTTCAACCTCCAGAATTACCATAAAGAAAAGAAATAGGATTGTGGTCATTGTTAAAGTGTGCTTCCCTCATGAGTGATGAGCGGTGTGTACAGGCTACCTGATGATGGAGTTTCCCAAGTCAAGTCTGCAGACTGAGCACACCCCATCAGACACTGCTCACTTCCTCAGTGCAGATACTAAACTTGGAGTGATAGAGAAGGTCACAGAAGGCCCCTGTGCAAGGATGTCACGTAAATTCATATAGCGTTCTGTATTTTTTAAAAACAAGGTAATATGTATACCTTGGCAACACAAGAGGAGTTACCAACGGAAGGGAGAAGATGGAAGTGGGGGAGCAAGAACAGAACCAAGTATATATGGAAATGCTATAATGACTTCTATTACTTTGTATGCTAATTTAAAAAAAACCTAGGTATTGGGATTAAGTTCAGTGGTAGGGCACTTGCCTAGTAAACCTGGGGCTCTGGGTTTGATTCTTGGATAGAAAATTAAAATTAAAGACAAAATTAAAAACAAAACCCTAAAACATATAAATTTGTAAAAGAATGAACAAGAACCCATACATAACCACAAAGATAAAAAATAATGACCAGAGAAATACATCACTATTGAAGGCACAAATACGGCACTGGCAATGTACCCCAAAATCAAGGTATACAGATTGCCTGACAAATATTTTAAATATTAATCACAAAGAAGGCTCAGTGAACTTCAAGAAATCACAAAATCAAGGAAACAATGACCCAATCAAGAAATCTTAATAGGTTGAATTTATTTAAAAAAAAAAACAACAAAAACAAACAAATTCTAGAACTCAAAAGTGATGAGCTAGGAGAAAAAAACTACAGCAGAAACATCAACAGCAAAGGGGAACAAGTAAAAGAAAAAGGTTGTGAACTAGAAGACAAAGTGCTTAAAAGTGTAGTCAGGGAAGATAAAAGGAAAAGATGAAGAAAACTTCATGGGATTATGCGACAGCATCAAAAGAAGACAATGTCTGAATAATAGGAGTTGGAGGAGAAGCGGCCTGCCCACGAGAAGTGACCAACATCGAAGACATCCCAGAAACTGATCTCAGAGGGGCAGGATTTTTAGGGAGTAGGGGAAAGATGAAAACCCATTTGCTGTGAAGAGTATTTCTTTTTTTTATTGAAATTAAAGTTTAATGACAGTCCAGCATCATCTCTGAAGAACATGACTTTAGAAGGATGTGTGTCTACAGCAGTCATACACCAGACACGAGCAGACACTGATGAAGCTGTGAAATTAGTTCAAACCACAGGCTTTTCCTTGTGAAGAATGCCTTCTACTGGGCCAAGCCCACTTCTCAATCAAATGGGGATTTAAAAGGTGACCTTGCAAGGGAAGAGGGAGTGAAGGTGTTTCTTCTACACCCGGTGTTTACTGTGGCCCTGTTAGAGCTTGCGGCCTCAGAGAGCCACAGTCCAATGGACTGACTTGTTAGAAGTTCGCTTTCAGCCAATAGTGGTGATCTTGAACCTCATGGCAGTTCAAGGTTGAGAGGACCTTCTTAAATGTGCAAGTTCCTCAGATCCAGGAGTGAGGATTCAGTCAGGCCATGGCCACTCTCTAAGACTGCCTGATGCTTAGGTTCACCCAGGGCTGGGCCCTGCTTGCGCTTGGCAAGGTGCCATGATGATTTCTGAAAAGAAAAACCAGTAAGAATATTTTTTGCTTCTTCGTGTTTAATTTACCAGTTGACTTTCAGGGTTTAAAAGGAGGTTAATTTATTATTATTATTAGTTATATGTATGCATCTGTATATATGTATGTGAGAATAGGTGCCCCAAAGGTTAAAAGGTCACACATCCCTGGAGCTATACCTGGTTGTGAGACACCCCTTATGGGTGCTAGGAACCAAATTCAAGTCCTCTAAAAATGGGTATGCACTCTTAACCGCTGAGTGAGTTCTTGCCCTCAATTATTTCTTTACTAACCCCCATTCCTCTACTCTTTTCTTTTCTATTTTCTTTCTTCTTTCAATTGGTTTTATGTTTTGTTCTGTTTGAGACAATGTTTCTCAGTATAACAGTCCTAGCTTTCCTGGAACTTGCTTTGTAGGCCAGAGTGGTCTTGAACTCAGAGATCTGACTGCTCAGCCCCGTAAATGCTGGGATTAAAGATGTATACCACTATACCCGGCTCACCCTTTTTTTTAAAATTATTAAGGAAAAATACAATGAGGATCTTAAACTTGAAAAGAGAAGTTTTGTATCGGTTTTTTATTAAGTTCAGTTTGAGGTCATTGTTTTACAGTTATGAATTATTTTTTTCACATAGTATATTTTAAAGTTTTGTTGGAATATTTATTGTTAGGTTTGTTTATTTGCTTTGAAATATGGAATTATACAGTCTTCATGGGGGTGTGAATCACATCTGTTTGGAAAGTGGCATGTACATCAAGAGTTCACAACATATTTAAGAATACATGATTCTGAGCTGGGCGGTGGTGGCACACACTTTAATCCCAGCACTTGGAAGGCAGAGGCAGGCGGATCTCTGTGAGTTTAAGGCCAGCCTGGTCTATAAAGAGAGTTCAAGGACAATCAGGATTGTTACACAAAGAAGCCCTGTCTTGAAAAGTCAAAAGAGAGAGGGAGAGATGACTCCAAATGAACTTCATACACAAGTTGTATATATGAGTTTTAAAAGTGTTATATTATATAATTGGCTTACAAGTAGCAAATGAATTTTTTAAAAAATAGAAATGAAAGAAAATGGAATGGAACAAAAAAGGTAGAAAACTCATTTTTAAAAAAAATGAAAAAAAAAAACTTTCAAATCTAGGGAAAGATAAAAATTCAGGTATACGAAATTCAGAGAACTTTGATGAAATTTAATTAACTTTGATCTGATTCAGTGCGAAGAAGACTACACTAAGAAATATAATCATACTTTCAAAACTCAAAAACAAAGAGAGGGTCTGAAATAGAGAATAGAAGGAAAAGGATGGATAGAGGAGAGAGAGAGAAAGGTAAGCAGTGGTCCTTTAGCAGAGACATTAAGGATTGAAGTCAGTGAGATACTGTACTCAAAGAGCTGTGGAAATAAAACTGGTGTGGGAAGTCCTTCTGTCTATGTGTTGCTTTTACTGGTTAATGAAGAAAGAATCTGCCTTGGCCTGTGATAGGGCAGAGTAGAGCTAAGTGGGGGGAAGCTAAATTGAATGCTGGGAGAAAGAAGACGGAGTCAAGAGAAGCCATGTAGTCACTGCTGGGGACAGACACACCTCATGGTAAAATAATAGAAATGGGTTAATTTAAGAGATAAGAGTGAGCTAGGAATATGCACAAGCTAATAGGACAAGCAGTGTTGTAATTATACAGTTTCTGTGTGATTATTTCAGGAGTCTGGGTGGCCAGGAAAAGAACAAGCAGCCTCTAACAACATAAAACTACCCAAAAGAATGCTGTATCCAGCAAAGCTGTACTTTAGAAATGAAGGAGAGATAAATACAGACAAACAAAAGCCAAGATCTCTTTCCTACAGGAATGTTGAAGGGCAGTTCTCTAGGCAGAAAGATAAGAAAGTGATTGGTAACATAAAAACATGAGAAAGTAGGAAATTCTCTGGAGATAAAGTAAGCTAAGTAAATAGCATATGTTGTTAGTATGACATTTAAAAATAAAATCATCAAGATACTAGCCACAATAATTCATTAATGATATACACCACAAAATGTGAAAATCTGCACATCAAAATCAGAATAGATATTATGAGGTTAAACTGTTTATTATTTTCATGACTGATAGTACCATCTTATCATCTTAAAATATTCTATTTCATACAAGTGTTATGGTAACCATAAAGCAAAACGCTATAGTGAATCCATAAGAGATAGATAGTAGGGAATCACAGCATACAATAGAGAAAAAGCATCAAGTCATAATAAAGAACAACAAGAGAGGAAAGGAGAAAGGATTTACAAAATAATCTGAAAACAATAAAGTGACAACTTACCTATCAGTAAGTTATCTTGAATGCAAATGGATTAAATATCCAACCAGAAGACATAGAGTGAGTGAATGGATAAGAATGCAAAGCTCAACAATATGCTGCCTTCCAGAAACTCACACAGTCTGAAAATGAATGGATAAAAGGTATTCATGCAAATGGAAACCGAAGGGTAGCAGAAACAGCTATACCTACATCTAAGTCCAAAACTAGAAGGGAGGGAGGGAAGAAGAGAGGGGGAGACGACACTATACTGAAATTAATTCATCAAGAATAAACATTATAAAAATGTTGTGCATCACATTGAAGTACCTAAGCAGATTAGCAAATGTTGGGAGCTGGGTTGACCCAAGGCTCTCTTAGAGGCCCTGATAGAAGGTTGAAGAGAACAATAGTTCTGTGTCTTTGCCCAGGGGCAGACTTGGTAAGGCAAGGTCTGGGCTGGGACTTGGACCAGGGCCTTGAAGGAATTAAAGTTTTGATTTGTGGAAACCTGGCTTACCCCTCTCCCAAAAGACAGCAGTTATCAGTCCCAAGTCTGCTGTATGCTCAGTCGGTGGTGCACTTGAGATATCTTGTGTTCCCTTAATGCAACATTGCTTGATTAGCTTCCTGCTGGCTTTGTTCCATTTCCCCTCTGCAAACTGTATGAAAGAAACTGCACTTCTTAATAAATTTGCTTAGCAGCATTAGCTGTCAGCCTATGCAAGACCTCCTGGTTCCAATTTTCCTGTTTTCTTTATTTTTCTCATCCTTGGTTCTCCCATTTAGGATCCTGTCACTGAAGAATAACCTGCTGGTCTAGGTCAAGCAAGTACTAAGAGATAAAGATAGATAGATAGATAGATAGATAGATAGATAGATAGATAGATAGATAGATAGATAGATAGATCGATAGATCAAGCAAGTACTAAGAGATAAAGATAGATAGGTAGATAGATAGATAGATAGATAGATAGAGAGAGAGAGAGAGAGACAGACAGACAGACAGACAGACAGACAGACAGACAGAGAACAATAATAGTATCAGTCTTCAATACCCTCTTTCAATAATGGACAAAAACCCAAACAGATAGTAAGGAAACATTGGTCTAAACTAAATCAAATAGAACATTCTGTCCTACAACACAAGATATATTCTTCTCTAATATACATGGAACATTCTCTGGGTGAATCATAGGTTAGATGGTAAAACAAATCTTAAAAAACTTAAGAGGATTGAAATTATATGAAATAACTTTTCTGATCATAGTGGTGTGAAACTAGACATCAGTAATAGAAGC